AAATAAATACTTGCATGGATATTCACAATGCCTTTTCTGCAACTGTTTTTCTAAATTCTTGATAACAGATTAATGAGAAATTAGCAATAGAGACTACATTTCCCTCCTGTTTTTATTTAACTTGTATATAATACTGTTTTGTGACATTACTGAGATTACAGATCTCTAAATGAAACAACTCCAAAATCAAAGCAGAACTTAGCAGGTTCTCTTTGTAACACATTACAGGTCTGAAATTAGAATAGGCCATTATCTACATTCTGTGATTTGTTTAAAACAGAAGACACCTGTATGCTATAGAAAAGCATTCACACATCGATTAAAAAAAGAGACAGATGGAGATGGTTAAAACATACAAAGCCTAATTTTACAGCACAGACAAGAGCAGTTTCAGTTCATCGAAGAGGAAACACCTCTTTAATGACAAAATTAAGGATTTAAGAGCAAAGTCCAGTTGCACAGTCATTATACAAAAAATGTCATGAGATGATAAACAGCAACTGCTTTTGGTAATATTCCTCCCTGTTGAGGGGCCAGGACAAGGGGGATGCAGAACTGAAGCCTGATCTCGAAGATTAATGTGGAGCTCATGGAAATTTCACCACCTTGCATAAAGATCCAGTTCAGAACTAGAGAGAAGGAGAAAATTCAGGGTGCGACAAAAGCCTCCTAGCAATACTGGAGAGAGAGGAAAAAAAGGGAAAACAAACAAAAGCAGTGCAGGGAATTAAAAACCTACTCATCATGAAGGCAAGAGGAGCTGAGCTGTACAGACAGCTACATGTACAAGACTGCTGCAGAGAAGCCTTACATGGCATAGCTTCAAGAAAAACATAGCCAGGGCACAGCAAAAGTCAAATCCAGGCTGACACAATCACATACTCAAAGCATACTACTACTGATTAACACACCACCGTGTTAGTTGATCTACATATTTGGCACTATCTTAAATCAAAATCTAGATTTTTGAAGGAGGTAAATAAACCCTCTTTATGTAAAAGGCAAGATCTTAAAAAATGAAATTCAGTTAAGCTCCCCTTAAGCCCCTGATACTCAGTCTCAAAATTTAAAGGAGTTGCTGTACTGCTGCAAAATGCCTTTAGCTTCCTGCGCATGCTTCATACTTTTAAGCAAGGCCAAATACATGCCAGCAATAACAACAATCAAACTTGAGCAAAAGCATGCACTGGAAGACACTTGTCCAGAAAATTGCAGTGGGTAAAATCCTAATTTGAGGACTGCAATGCAGTATTTGTTGGCAGGGCTATTGCTGTATTTCTTAGTGGCACTGGCCCCAGGAAATGATGTCAGAACCTGGAATTTAGGATTTTCGTTGTCTGTAAAATCACAGGGTAAATACCTAACCTTCAGCAACCCGAAGTATTTTCAGCCCCGTAAAGCATTAGTGAACTTCCAACCATTTAGAAGAACAGATCCTGCTCTTCATCTTGCCCTGAGGCATTATTCAACAGAAATGGGTCCACCTCATACACCACTGGACCTTACAACTGGCTTGGTTAAACACCCACCTGACACTTTGCATTTAAAGGGATGTGCTCTCATACAACAGGGCATCCCAAGATGCCCCTATATTTCCAAGTAAGCCTGTATACTTCTGAACACTTCCTAAACTTACTATGCTATGTGAGGTGAGCAGCGGTAAGATTCATAGGACCTGTCCCCATAATGTAAATATCAGCACAACCTGAGTGATTTGGGGCAGGGACAGTCTTTTGTTAACGGGCAACAGGTTTTTGTCTGCATATATGAAAAGCCTAGCATAATGGCATCCAAAAATAGACTACAGAGAGAAAATAAGGGGTGGGAGGTGGCATGGATTTCTCCTACTGATGTACCTGTAACTGTATCTGGTCCACAAATGTAACTGTGCATGACCTACTGTAAACTGTGTAACATTTTTCTTGTGTCCAACTGATTTTTTTTGTCCCCTCCCCCTTTTAAATCCAAATAGCTGACAAAGTCAACGATGACTTCTATACCAAACGCCGACATCTTGCAGAACTGGCTGCCAAAGGGAGCCTGCCACTCCATCCAGTGCGCCTAGATGAAGACAGAGCTTACACGATCGACAGTGGCCTAACCAAACAGAACGGGCAGAAATCCAAAATCGCAAAGATCCACACACACCCACTAGGTTACAATTCCCACTACAAGACCTGGGATCCCAACGACCAGTCTCTTAGACGGCAAGCATACACAAACAAGGGGAAGCATGGTATGGCAGACCCAACGTTAAGCGACCCACTGACAACCCGGAGCCAGCATTATTTGGGCCCACAGCCATACTTCATAACTAACAGCAAGACAGAAGTAACTGTTTGAGTTTGTTTTCCTTTTTTTCTTTTTTTCTTTTTTTTAAATGAAATCCTTTAAAAACCACATGGAAATACACACACAACACAAACACTCAACTGAAAGGCAAAAAATAAATTTAAAAACATAAAATAAAAAAAAGGAAACAGAAGGAAGGAAATTCCACCTGGACGCTCTCGGTATCCAGCCAACTGTAGGCCGAAGAGTGGGTTAATACCATTCAGCAATACATACTGAAGGTTGAATTATAAACTCCATTTGTATTTCACAATGGAACACAAACCCTTGTGACTAAATTTTTTTACTTGAAACTAAAATCCATGATGAGAAGTAGCACAATCTAGAGAAACTTTATGTCTGCTTAAACATTTACACTATGTTCCTGCCTTGAGACAGAGGAAGAACGAACAATATATTGTAATATATTATTTCAGAGAGGAATTTTGTATAAAACCTATTAATAATCACTAGACCTGTGAGAAGCCAAGAGCAAACATCTTGGTACAACCCCTAACATCTATTATTGTACTTTCACACCATCCTATAGAAAGCGCAAAAAATATATATACAATAAGGGACAAAGACTCTTTCACAAGGAATTTATGAAGACTGTTATGATTAAGAGCATATGGGACCTTTCTGGCTGGTAGAGAATTCTGCAGGATGATAACAAACAACAGAAGATTTTATTTCAGTTTACTTCGTTTGATTTGAAATCTTTGGGAACCTCCAAAATAAGAAGAGACATACCATGAGACACAGAAAGCTGCTGGGGAATAAGGGCATCAGAATATTCCCTCTCAATCCTCCTGTTTTTGGGCAGATGGTAACAATTCTCACTTTGCAGACTGTCAGGACTTTTTCTTCACCTAAATGTTTTGCCTATCTTCAACTGCTTCAGACTGAAATTAAGCGTGGGTGGTGCCTTTACTGTATTACTATTGTTCAATGACAGTCTTGTTTCTCAAAGTGACCCCTATGTTCCTTTAAGCTATTTCCTCATGTTTTGCTAAGGATGACAAGGGTTCTGCCCTACTCAGCCTCCTCTGTTTGTCCCGAAGGGAAACTGGACTACATCTCCATGCAGTGGTTGCATAGTCAAGACTATTTAGTTAGCCCCTCCATTTTCCCAGTTTAAACTTTTTCCCTCTAGTGTCTCATTTTGTATTTGCTTTTAGCCATGGTAGTTCTTTGTAGTTCAACTAAATGTTATATGGTATATTGTCTCTATCGTTTGGCTTTCTATAGTGGCATTTCCTCTTGGTGGACTATTTGGTGGAAAGAGGCTAAAGGACTAGCCTCAAATGTCAAAGACATCTGGGTTTAAACTAAACAAACAATTGGACTCGTGGTCTTGACTGTGGTTCTGATGAGCAGGATGCCTTGTTCGTATGAGTAAAACCACTCTTGAATTGGGCACTGCTAGTAGACTCGCAGTCCTGGGCCTGTAAAGGCCTCAGCACATCCACAAAGAGATAAGCAGAGTTGGGATGGGATGGTGGTGCTGCAACAGCCTGATGGCAGGCAACGCACTGTCTTTCACTTAAATTCCTGCCCTTCCCTCAAAACAAGTCATTTGGCTAAATCCTAACTAGCTGTCTTACTACAGTTGTGTTCTCACCAGCTGTCAATTCTTCTGGAGATTAGTTTTGGAAGAGCATGCAGGGAGGAGTGAGAACTGTTATGTTGTAAGAATTGGAAGTGGCATTTCTTACTATACTCAACTGACTGGCAGTGCTTCTTCTTAGTCAAGGATGCAAGGGCTAAGAATTTGAAATGTGGTTAAACGGAGAAACCATTTTTTTAGCTATATCAAGATTGATTTACATCCCGAGAGCACTGGCATCTCTCCGTAAGTGTGTTGCTAAACTGTATGATCATATGTTTTAAGACTATTAGAAGTGGACAAAGCCCACGGGACAAATACTTTGCACACAACCCAGATTCTCCACTATCTTACTTTTATTCCTTTAATATTTATTGCCTTCACAACTGGCTGACTTAATTTGACCCTTTATGGAATGTTGCTGTTAATCCATATGCTTTAGATACACATTACAGCTGCACTCTAATTCACACAGGTTTCGTGTAACTTGAGCATATTTTATGTGGAAATATTTTAGTAACTGTATGTTCTGTAAGTAAACCCGTGTTAATACTTGTTAACTACAGAGTTTATGATACCAATAATACTTCCTACAATAAAATGTTTGTTTGTTTTTTAAGAATGTTTATTTGTAAACATATGTATTCACTATATTAATATGAATTTCTTACCTGGCAATAAAACTGATTCTATGTGAATCCAATTTGCTGGCTCATTCCTAAACTTGTATCATTGGGCCAATTTTTGAGTATTAACTGAACTTCTGGAGCCTGTCACTGCAGCCAGTGGGGTTCATCTCCCCAAATGATGATTTGACTCTGCCATTGGTAGTCTTGTGAACAAGAGGTTCTTTGGAAAGCAGCTGCATGTTGTATGCATTATATATGTGCAATGCCTGTTACATGCAGTGTAACATAATACACACAAAGCATGCAAGCCTTGCAAAGCTCCATGTGCCCTGTAAGCCTCCAAGCACCACACACATCTTGTGTCACTTAATCAGTTAATTACAGTTTTGAGGAAAGAAAAAGAGGTAAGCATGCACAGGGCCAGATCCTGGTCCTCATGAATGCATGGGAGTTTTGCAATAAGCTTCAGCCAATCCCAGGATTGGAACTACCCAGTAAGAACAGATGAATCACTGGCATATATTGCTTCAAAATTTTTATATGTTCATTACAGAAAAACCTGTACGTAATCTCTGTGTACCAAGTCTGCTGGAACAGAAAGTCCTTTACAGGCTTTTAATACTGCTAATGGCTCGTAAACCTGACAATGAACAGAACCTCAGGGAAGGAGAATGTTTGGGTAGCTTCTTCTCTTTGCTTTGCTACAAAGATATCAGATGAATTTCAGAAGAAGAAATGAAGAATCAGGATACCTAGCTTCAGAATCAACTTAGTGCATGACTTGGTGCAAATTCTTTAGACAATTTATGATTCCTAGAAGCCATGACACATTATCAGAGGGAAAACATCAATTCAGAAGTGGCTGGAGTTAGCCATTTTAAACAGTAGAAAAGTCTCATTTTTATTATATGCCTTTATGGGTGCCATGAAATAATCCGTAAAAGCCCCACTTCTGGTTACAGGAGCATTTCCCTGCCTCAGGCACAACTACAGAAACAGCCCCATTCTGCCAGGGGGCTCAGGAGAGACATAGGGAGTGTGGCCACAGTGCCAGAAAAATTCTGGGCAGCCCTGCAACCCATAGGGAAGCCTGGGGAGCCCAGTGGAATACAAGCCTAACCTATGGTAGACGCAACTTAACTGTTACAGCTCCACCACCAACCCATCTAATTCACATGTTGTTTTTATCAGCAAATTCCTGGAATCACAGATGACAAAAAGGATAACCGCTTCACTAGTAAAAGTGCCTCTGCATAAGCTTTAGTTATTCCAGATAAGTGGAAAAAAAAAAACAACCCTCCAAAAAACCCCCTGCATCTGATTTTGTGTCTCTGTATGGTTTTTTCTCTTATGTTAGCCTGAACATTTTGTCACCATGAAGAAGAATTGCTCTGGGTTCCCATAAGCATTTCTTCCATAAGGCTCTGATATTAACACAGATGCACTGCGCTACAAACAAAAAGGTGTATTGCCAAGGAATGAAGATGTTCCATATACAGAGCTATGGAGTCCAAAAGTCTAAAGGTTATTTGTTTTAGACCCCTTTACCCTGGAAACATCTGTTCTCATGACTAAATCTTTTGAGCATGATCCTCAGCTTACACAAACTGAAGATGTGGTGACATATAAATAGAGGATCAGGTCTCATGACATTCCATACTACCTACAAAGCGTCTCCAGAACTCAGACTTTAGATTTTAATAGATCTGGGAAAAGATTCATGCTTTGCTCTATTCTTATAGAATGGTTATTGAATTTTGGGTACTAAATAAATAACCCTAGTCCACAAATCCCTTTTGCACACAATCCTGCGCACTTTATTTAATCCTGGTCTCTATACTTGAATACACAAAGGACTTCCAGTGATAAATACAGTCTTTACTGTAATTATATTATCTTCCTATTTAGCATGGATAATTTTATTTTGCTAAAACCAGTTATGACAGGAAGCATTATTGTATTAGATTATATCATCTCATATATCACCCAGTGCTGACAATGTGAAAATAGGATGAGTACCACATTACTAAAAAGTGAGCATTGTTATTTTTATGAATGGGAAAGTCAAATTATTATGTCTATTGATTATGTATGACTTCAGATAACTTTTGCCATTTATTTCAGCATTAATATAATACATATATAGTAGTACAGATGCCATGCTAGTTTGGGTATGAAAGCTGTTTTTAGCCAAAAAGGACTGAATGAAAGTCCTGTTTAAGTTATACAGCAACTTGCTCTATGTATTGTTTCCTATATTAGGTCAATAACAAAGTCCTAAAGTGGTAAAACTATTATTAATGCTGTTGGCTATATTAAATATCAGAAACTACTCTGAAAATTCCTGGTAACTAATACTCTAGAAATGAGACTGATTTGGGAGAACAAAATCTGAGGTTTTCTAATTGTAGATAAAATTATCGATTTACCAGTAGTTTGGCAGAAGATGTAGCATTTAATGGCATTATTCCAAAAGTCACCTGAAGTCATGACACCGTCCTGGTTTACAAGATGTACATTACATTTACATAACATTCCTACCAGGTTCTGACCACTCTGTCCAGCTGCTGCCCACCTAAAGAGGAGAGATGTACAAGATGATCCTTCATGCCATATTCTGCAGTTGCCACTAGATTGCACACAGAAGAGCGCAGAAATCTAACCTGACAGCTTAGGATTCAAACTCAAGCTTATCTCTAGTGTTTGCCCAAGACACAAGCAGCGTTTTCTCAACAACAGGCTTAATGTCAAGAGGTGACATTAGAAGAGATGAA